CTGCTGCGTAAGCCTCGGGACCCGGGACTGGGGTGCGAAAGAGGGCGAGGCGGCGACCTCTGGAGCGCGCGGGCTGGGAGGAGCCGGGGAGCCGGGAGGCGGGGCTGCAGGGGCGTGGTCAGAGCTTCCAGGCAGGCCAGAGGGTCTGAGGTAGGAGGGGTGAGAGTGGGGTGGGTTTAGGGTTCCGAGATGGGCAAGGAGGTTCTGGAAGTTCAAGTGGGTTAGGTTAGAAAGGAGCCCTACCGGTGGGCGGCAGAGCCGAGGAGGGGAGTGGGTCTCTTGGAAGCAGAGCCAGGACTCTAGAACTGGCACTGAAAAGTAAGGTTTCCAGGCTGATGTAGCATTTTGATTCTTGTGCTGGAGTCCCGGACCCCCTCCATGGCACTGCTTTCTCCTGCTTTTAGGCTTTCTCTGCTCTGAACTCCAGGCTGCCCGCCTCCTGCACTTACAGTCCCTGAAGGACGCCAGCCCTGTACTGCTCAGGGGGGAAGGACCAGAGGAACGATCTGGCATGGTCCACGAACTGGTCCTTACCCTCCAAGCCCTGGGGCTGCCCAGACCCACACCTGGGACTCCGGCCAGCCTGCTGCTACGGGAGTTGCATGCTAGGGTAAAGAGTCAGAGTCCCTTCCCCACCCAGGCCACCTCACCTTCCTTGGGTCCTCTCTCCAAAAGTAGCACTGGCAGGAGTCTCCCAACCACAGGGGTGTTTTTCTAGAGTCATTCTTCCTTCCATGGCCTGGTTCCTCAGGACCCGGGGAGCTGGTGTCTGTGGAGGGGTTAATCATTTTTCTGCCCATATGGCCTTCTTCTCCAATCAGATCTCAGAGCTGCTGCCTTCCCTGCCTCCAGGGTCCATGCAGCCCCTCCTCAGCCACCCGCTGGATGCACCCAGATGGGTAAGACTGTGTAGGGCTATATGTGAACAGTGCTGTTGCCCAGACGGAAGTGAGAGGGACCCCTGGCATGACAGAGACCTTGTCTCCCAGGAAGCACTGGAGTCGCTGTCCCACAGCCTGAGAGATCAGTACTGCTGCCGCCGCTGCCTCCTCCTCAAGCGCCTGGACCTCACAACGTCTGCCTTCCACTGGAGCAATCGGGCAGAGGTGTGGGTAATGGACTTCGGCAGGAGCAGGGTGGCCTGGTTGTGGGGGCTACAGCTGCAGGGGGCAGGAGTGAGGGTCAGGAAGATTACCCTCTTTAGATTCTGAGGCCCAGGCCATTTTACAGTTTTGTGGCTTCTAGAATCCCAAGCCCTGCAGAGCAATTCTGAAATTCTGAGCTCTGAGCTGAGAGTGTCTTAAGTGCTACACCCCTTAGTTAGAGAGGTGGGCAGTGAGGCCCTGGATGGGAAGGAGATGCTTCCAAGGTGAGCGATTTCACTTGAGGAGGGCCCTTGGCACCTTCTCTATGCACCCCTTTCCAGGCCCAAGGAAAGGCCATGAAAGCAGCGCTGATCCCAATTCGAGAGGTTCTGACCCCGGAATCAGATGTCTCCATTGCGCATGTCCTGGCTGCCAGAGCCGACCTGTCTCGTCTCGTCCCAGCTACCAGCATGGCTGCCCGTCAAGGGACCTGCTGTGCCATCAACAAGGTGGGTTCCTGGGGAAGGGAAGGGCCTGGCATCTTTAGTCTTCATGTGTCCTAGGGCAAAAACCTTTAAAAAAAAAAAGTCTTATGTGGAGAGTATTAGGGAATAAAGTCTAGTACAGCAGAGTAAGGCAAACTTGGGGGTTTTTTTGAGAGTTTTTCTTAAGAATTATTTAACTTTATTTATTAAAGAATTATTTTATTTAACTTTATTTACTTACTTATTTTTTAAATTTGACCAGAGAGGGACAGAGCAAGAGCAAGTGAGAGAGAGGGAAAATGAGAAAGCAAGCCGCCAGGTCCGAGATTTGAACTGTGGTTGCCCGTGTGGGAGTCCAGCACCCTTAACCACCACACCACCTGCCAGCCCCTATTTATTTACTTTTTAAAATTTGACCGGAGAGGGACAGAGAGAGAGAGAGGGAAAGTGAAAAAGCAAGCTGCCAGGTCCGGGACTCGAACTGTAGTTGACCATGTGGGAGTCCAGTGCCATTAACCACCACACCAGTGCCACTAACCACCATGCTACCTGCCGGCCCCAAGAAAGAGAGGTGTTTTTTTGCTATTGAGTGCATGTGCTCGCCAGAGAGACTGAAAAAGACAGAGTGAGAAATTATTCCCCATGGTAATTGGTGTAATTCGGGATGGTCACACTGCTGTCCCTTCTCTTCCATTCTCCTCTTGGGATTTTGAGCCTGGATACACACATGCCTGGCATGAGTTTCAAGCCACTGAGTTCAGGACTTGAACACAGTCAACCATGTGGGAGTGCAGTGCCTTAACCACTATGCCACTTGCTGGCCCAAGCAAGGCAAACTTTAAGATAAGAAAAAAAGTGATTTACTTGGGGAAGGAGGGCAGCAGATGGCGTAATGGTTACATCACTGGACTCCCACATAGTTAACCGCGGTTTGAGACCCAGTGGCTTAAAACTCACGTGTCTTTCCAGTGAGTGCATGTACTCTATAGCAAAAATCTCTCTTAAGAAATCTGATTTACAAGGCCAACTGATGACGTACTAGTTGAAGCAACTAGAGCTCCCATGGCTGACTGCACAGTTAGTCCTGGACCTGGTGGCTTGAAAAAAAACACTTGAATATGTGTGTGCGTGTCCAAAATCCCGAGAGGACAATGGAGGAGAAGGGATTGTGTGGCCATCCTGCCTGAGGGTGCTCTCTCACTTTTCCTCTCGCCCCTTTTCAATCTCTGTTTCTTTTTGGCTAGCACATGTACCCTATAACAAAACTTTAAAAACTTCTTTTTGGCTAGCACATGTACCTTATAACAAAACTTTAAAAAAAAATAATAATTGACCACTTTTATCTGTTATGCAAAGCCCCATATATGAAATAGACAGAGTTGAGGTCCTCTTGATATACGGGGTGTGGACTTGGATAGCCTCCCCGTCATTGTCCCAGTTTGTATCTTCCACGTCTCTCCCATCCACTGTACCCAAATAATTAACCTCTGCCCTTCTTTTTCAACCTCATGCTATTCCCTTTACTCGCTGGCCCCCTTGCTCAAGATAGATTTTTTTCCTCTGAAACTCAAGTTTAATCAACTCTCAGGTTCTTATGGGCAACGTGCCAGACCGGGGCGGCCGCCCCGGTGAGCTGGAGGCTCCCATGCCCACGTGGCGGAGCCGAAGAGAAGATGGAGGTGGACGGAAGGCAGGCCGCCAGAACTGGGGCCGCAAGAAGAAGAAGAAGTAAAGGACTGGTGCGGGAGGGGACTCTCCACGAGGTGCTGACACCCATCTCTGGGAGTCAGCTTAAGGGTTTCCCTGACACCCGGCACCCATTCCCCCTCACCCTGTTCCTGAGGCCCCAGGTGTCCTGCCTGTCATCACCACTCAACATCGAAAACTGTGTTTTCTGGAAAATAAATTTAATTTATGACAGCTGGAGAACCTGCCTCTGTGGGGCCAGGTCAGGGGTGCTTGGTTTGGTGGAAGGGTGGGGGTCTCTGCCCTTGGGTCTGGACAGGCCCCTGCTGCTCTGCCACACAGAGTCCTTTGGTCGCCCGCATCTCGTCGTTCCCTTCCTGTGGGCACAAGGAAAATACATTCAGGTGACAGATAAGCATTTATCAGGTGCCTGCAGTGTTACCACCTCTGTTCTAGGTCATGGGGACACAGCAAGGGAGGGCACAGCGGATGCCATGGAGGTGAAGGCTACTGGATCCCACGTGGCTGGCCGCGTGGTTTGAGTCACAGACCTTGTAGCTTGAAAAGCATGCTGGGTGCATTTGTCTGTGTGCCAACATCCCAAGAAGAGAATGGAGGAGAAGGGACTGCGATGTGGCCATCCTCCCTGGGAGGTGTTTTCTCATATATCTCCCACCCCCATCTCTATCTCTGGTGAGCTCACGCTCTCTGTAGCAAAAAAAAAAAAAAAAAAAAAATCCCCCAAAAATATCACTCTGCTCTCAGCCCTGTGGCCTGGTGGTTAAGGAGGCTGGTACTCACTCATATGGCTGATTACATGGTTCAAATCCTGGCTACAGTGGCTTGAAAAACATGCTTGGGTATATGTGTGTGTGCCTAGAACCCCAAAAGGAAGGAGAGATGGAGGAAGAAGAGATTGCAGCTTGACAATACGCCCTTGGGGGTGCTTCATCTCACTCTGTCTCTGGCCAGTACACATCTCTCTGGTAAATTAAAAAAAAAAAATATATATATATATATCTTCCTGCTTTTCTGAGCTGACAATTCTGGTGAGGAGGGGCAGACATTAAACAAGATAAATAGGTCAAATATATCGTAGGTCAGATGGAGACAGTATTGTGGAGGAAAATGAAGGCGGATCGGCCTGGAGGTGAAGATGGCATCTGAGCGCGATGGTGGAAGGCCTCACGGAGCAGGTGGCACTTGAATATAGCCCTAAAGAGGATGCCAAGCAGGCCTCTGGGGAAGTATTCCAGATGCAGGGGACAGCCAGCACAGAGGCCCTGAGGTAGCAGTACTTGGGGCACGTCCAGGTTCCCATGGCTGAAGCAGGATGAGTGAGGGGTGGAAGGTGTGGTCAGAGGTGACAGGGCAGACAGTGGAAACTCTGTGGACCACAGGGAGGACTCCGGCTTTTACCCTGAGTGGGAAGAGCCTGGGCGAGGGGGTTCTCTGAGCATCTGCTCTGACTCAGGTGTCCTCAGGGTCCCTCTTCATTCCCTCATCCCAGCCTTCTCTCCTGTCTCTGGAACCCGAGTTGGAACTTTACCCACTCTATCCTGGCCCACCCAACCAGCAGCACAGCACAGTGGTCAGAAGCTGGGTTTGAGTCCTGCCTCCAAGCCTTGGGAGCCCTGCCATGTTGGGGCAGGACCTCGCCTCGCTGAGTCTCAGTCTCCTTGTCTGACATGGGGACGGAGGGAGTTGAGATGGCGCCTGAGTGTCAATGCATGCAGCACGGAGCTGCACAGGTATTAGTGAGGAGGAGTGTGATGAACAGCCGCTGTGATGGAAGAAGGAAACTTGGTTTTGCCGTAAAAGGATGAATGCTTCATCAAAGGTTCGTGAATGGGGGGTCCTGCTGGAGACAGAGCGGCCAGACTCAGGGCTGGTGTGGAGGGGAGCAGGGAGAGAAGAGACCGAGATGATGTCTAGGAATTGGCTTTGAAGGGCACTGTTGCCGAGAAGCAGGCCTTGAACGAGGAAGACAGTGATGGATACAGGGAATGTGACGTATCTGGGAGATGCTTCATGCCAGGAGCAGGGCCTCACCAGTCTGTGGTGAAGCCATAAATGGATGTCCCCTGAACCTTATTCTCAAATCCAGTCTGAGAATCTCTGTCTTTGAAGGGTGGAATTTTTTTTTCTTTTTTTTTGGAGAGGTTTTTGCTACAGGGCACATGCACTCACCAGACAGGCAGAGAGAGACAGAGAGAAAGCGAGAAATCACCCCCCAGAAAGGATGGCCATGCCGCAATCCCTTCTCCTCCATTCTCCTCTCAGGATCTTGGGCACGCACACACACGCACCCGGCATGAGTTTAAGCCACCGGTCCGGGACTCGAACCGTGGTCGACTACGTGGGAGTCCAGCGACATAGCCATTACGCTAACTGATGGTCCCATGAAGGGTGGAATTTTGACTTCACTGACATTTCCTGTAGCTTTAAAAGTATTTGGCCTTGGGGCCAGCAGATGGAGTAGTGGTTACATTGCTGGACTCCCACATGGCCAACTGTGGTTTGAATCTCAGACCTGGTGGCTTGAAACTTACGCCTGGTGCATGTGTGTGCGTGCCCAAGATCCTGGGAGGAGGATGGAGGAGAAAGGATTGCGGCATGCCCATCCCACTTGGGGGAGAGATTTCTCACTTTCCCTCTCACTGTCTCTGTCTCCCCGGCAAACACAAGTGCCCTAAGACAAAAATCTGTACCAAAGTCCTCCCCCCCAAATTAATCTCCTTACTCTTACTATCTTACTGTTTTTTTCCCCCTTGTTCTATTCTAGTGGCTACCTCTCCCCTTCTTCTCATATGAAGTTTCTGTTTTCCTATCAGCGTTAAAATTAACCAGTGTTGGGACCAGCAGTTGGTGTAATGGCTATGTCACTGGACTCCCATGTAGTGGACCGCAGTTTGAGTCCCAGACCCGGTGGCTTAAACTCACACCAGGCGGGTGTGCGTGCGTGCCCAAGATCCCGGGAGGAGAATGGAGGAAAAGGGATTGCGGTGTAGCCATCCCCCTTGGGGAGTGATTTCTCGCTTTCTGTCTCTCTGTCTCTCTCCGTCTTTCTGGTGAGTACACGCGCCCTATAGCAAAAGCCTCTCAAAAAAAAAAAAAATTAACCACTGTCTATACCCAAGTAATCAGGGACTTTGCAGTTTTACTTTTCTATGCTTCCCCAAATCTGTCTGGTTTCCCCCTGTATCCAGCTGGGGGTGGGGGAAAGTTCCTCCTTACCGTCTCTGGTTCCCAGGAAGGGTGTGGGGACTCTGTCTGAGTCCAAGCATGACGAACATGGCACCCAGTCTCAGGTTCCAGGGATAGTGTATAGGACAGGTTTTCCTCGGGGCCTGTTTGTGGGGATGGACGGAAGGAAGTGGGCCTGATAGACAGGGCCTCATAGCCTTGGAATTAACCCACTCCATGAAGCCCCTTCCCAGGACGCCTGGGATCTTACCAGAGCTGGCATTGGCAGCTGGGATGGGTGGGACAGGGGCTCCTGGGGGTCCCACATCACCCTTGACCCCTGGCCTCTTCTTACACTCCACCTTCACTTGGTCTCTGCAGTGTTTGTGGCAGCACAGTCCACAGTCTGCAGGGAGGTAGCAGTTAGTAGCCGGAGGGGCAGCTGTGCCCCCTGTCCTTCCAGTCGGCAGGTGGTACATTCAACTCGCAGTTGGTGAAGTCCCACTCACCTCGACAGCGGTAGCCTTGCTTGGTTACACCCCAGAGCTTGAAGAGAAAGCAGAATAGGTTACCCAGGCTACGGAGGGAGGGCTGTGGGTTGGAGGGACGTGGCCATGTAGGTGCTACTCAGGTTTGGAAAATTCTCAAGGCTAGAGATTTCAATAGAATGAAAGGAACGTGGAGATTATTCCAAGTTTGGGGATCATTGAGGATATTAGAATTAGATTAAACTTTGGGACTGGATTGTGATAGAGCAGTAAAACAGGACACTCTGTGAGGCTGAAGCTGAACTCCATGGGAAGGTGCTGGGTTTGTGTCCAGAGACCTCCCTGAAGTAGGCCAGGCACATGTGTGCCCGTAACCAGAGCTGGCTGAGGTTAGGGTAGAGTCCAGTGTCAAGACCCTGGTGTGAGTGCCATCTGTTTCTCTCACTCAAGGAAAAACAGATTAATTAAAAAAAAAAAAAAAAAAGGTAAAATTTGGAGTTCATAAAATGTCAGTTCTGTGGGCAGGGGTTGTGCCTGTTGTACCCTGAGGGCATAAAACTGCCTGACACAGGGCCAGCTGGTGGTATGGTGGTTACAGTGGCTTGATCCCACAGGGTTGACTGCTGGAGTCCTGGACCCAGTACTTGAAAAACATGCCAGGTGTGTGTGCATGCGTGCCCCAAATCCCAAGAGGAGAAGGGATTGCGTAATGGCCATCCCCCATGGGATGGGGTGCTTTCTCACTTTCTCTCTCTCTTTTTCTGGTGAGTGCACGTGCCCTACTGCAAACTAAAAAAAGAAAAGAGAAAAAAGACCTGCCTGGCACATAGGAGGTGCCTACTTAGTGACTGAGTCAGTGCACCCGGGAAGTAACCCGGGGTGAATGTTAGTCTTGGTTGGGAGATTGAGACTTGTCTGTCATTCGGGGTTCGAAGATACCTTGGATTCATCAATTATCCAGGATTTGAATGATTTGGAGTTTAAAGATTCGGAGGTTGGGGACCAGCAGTTAGCGTAATGGCTATGTTGCTGGACTCCCACGTAGTCGACCGGGGTTTGCGTCCCGGATCCGGTGGCTTAAACTCAACGCAGGGCGTGTGTGCGTGTGTGCCCAAGATCCCGAGAGGAGAATGGAGGAGAAGGGATTGCGGGGTGACCATCCCCCCTGGGGGGCGATTTTTCCCTTTCTCTCTGTCTCTCTCTGTCTGTCTGGTGAGCGCACGCACCCTATAGCATAAACCTCTCAAAAAAAACAAAACAAAACAAAAAAAAGATTTGGAGGTTGATTCTGTTTGGACAGAATCTATCCAGGTTTGTAGATAACCCAGGATTTCAGATTACCCTCGTATTAGGTACTATCATGGCTTAGTGGCTGTCCAGGGCAGAGACGATCTGAGATTTGAAAATTATATGGAATTTGGAGATTATCCAGGGTGTTAGGGAATGTGGGGATTAGTTGAGGCTGGGCTAGACTTTCTGGAATGTAGGACTTTTTTTTCTTTTAAATTTTTTCTTTTATTTTTTTAAAGACTATTTTTATTTACCAGTATTTTTTTGTTGTTGTTTTTTGTTTTTTTAATTTGGACATGTGCGCTCACCAGAGAAAGAGAAAGAGAGGGAGGGAAAGTGAGAAAGCAACCCACCAGGTCTGAGACTCAGCCTGTGGAAGTCCAGCACCTCAACCACCACGCCCCCTGCTGGTCCCTGAAATGTGGGATTATCTGGGGTTTGAAGACCATCCACACTCCAGGGCAGGGCTGGCTTTCTGAGTGTGGCTGTGAGGAGCTGGAGACTGCAGGGGGTGGGTCCTCGGGGTGACCGTGGTGCTGAGTGCTCACAAAGCCGCTGCAGCTGTCACAGAAGGTGGGCTTGCGGAAGGTGACCTCATGGAAGGTGTGCAGGAAGGCCAGGCCCAGCTTGGAGCAGATGGCGCTGGCGCGCAGCAGGTACCCTGTTAGCTCCTCTCTGCTGAAGGAGCCACTCCTGGGGGCAGAGACCACGCATGACTGGCCCCTACTCCTCTAGACAGGGAGCCAGGCAGCTGCAGCATCCTCATCTGCAGGGGACCCGAGTCAGGGCTACTCACCCCTGGTGTGGGGGTGGGTGAAGCCCATGGCAAGCGAAGGGGAAGCTGCCTGAGAGCCGCTCAAAGTCCTCCTGAGAGATGGTTCCTTGGCCTTCAGGGTCATAATTCTTGAACACAGACTTCGGAGGAGCATGGGAAAGACAGCATAAGGCAGATGGCCACGGTGTGATGCCAGGGTCTTAGACCCCCTTCTCCTCCAGTTTCAGGGCTATACAGATCCCTGGCCCCCAGCAGCAAGGCTCCCCTTACCTCCACCAGCTGCTCTACATGCCGACCCAGGGTTGCCCTGTCTGGCTTGGGTGTCACACCAGGGGCCCACTCCACTACCAAAGGCACTTTGAAGGGGGAGGGTGGCTAGGGCAGGGACAGAGGAGCACAGTTAGTCAATGCATAGGTTGGGGGGGGTGTCAAAGGTCAGGTTTCAAGTCTCACCAGACTCTTGGGACAGCGCGGCTCCCGGGCATATGAAAGCTCGTAGATCTCGTCCTCTGTGTAGAAGAGATCCAGGGAGAGCTAGGGGAGAGCAGGAACATTACAGATCCCTCCTCGTCCCCATTCTCCTACCTATGGCCTGTGGCCCTGCCTCAACCTCCACTCTCCATCCTCTTCTCAAAGCCCCTCTTCTCTGGGGATCCCTAAGGCCTTCTCTCTCACCAAGCACCCATTCATTTTCCCTTGGTCCTGGAATGCCATTTTCTCACTGAGGCCTTTTTAAAAATATTGCTTAATTGTTGGGATCAGCAGTTAGTTAAATGGCTATGTCTCTGGACTCCCACGTAGTCGGCCACGGTTCGAATCCTGGACCTGGTGGCTTAAACTCACACCGGGCACGTGTGTGTGCGTGCCCAAGATCCCGAGAGGAGAATAGAGGAGAAGGGATTGTGGCGTGGCCATCCCCCCTGAGGGGTGATTTCTCGCTTTCTGTCTCTCTCTGTCTGTCTGACGAGTGCACGCGCCCTATAGCAAAAATCTCTCCAAAAAAGAAAAAAAAATTGCTTAATTGCAACCTGTCATGTTCTATGCCTTTTCTGCTATGTTTCTCTCTCCCTGTTATTATTATTATTATTATTATTTGAAGAGGTTTTCGCTATAGGGTGCGTGCGCTTCGCCAGACAGACAGAGAGAGACAGAGACAGAAAACGAGAGATCACCCCCCAGGGAGGATGGTCATGCCGCAATCCCTTCTCCTCCGTTCTCCTCTCAGGATCTTGGGCACGCACGCACATGCGCCCAGCATGAGCGGGTCTGGGACGCGAACCGTGGTCGACTACGTGGGAGTCGAGCAACATAGCCATTACGCTAACTGCTGGTTCCCCCTCCCTGTTATTATTTTTTTTAATTGCCAGAGGGTATTTTTGCTTACCAGAGAGAGGAAGGGAGAAAGCACCCCCCAATGGGGCATGGTCATGCCACAATCTCTTCTCCCCTCTCTCATCATCCTGTTAGGATTTGGGGCATGCATACACATGTGCCCAATGTGTTTTTCAAGCCACCAGAGCCAGAATTCAACCCTTGGTCAACCATTTGGGATCCAGCTCCCTTAACCAGTAGGCTACAGGATCAGCCTCCTACTTGATTTTTTTTCTCTGTACTT